GAACCTGTGCATCTGGAGCCTGTGCTCCGCAATGGGAGAGACCACAAGAGTGAGAGGCCCGCGTACTGCAAAAAAAAAAAATTGTGTATGCTTTTTTTCTGGAATAGGAGCCACAGTTGTCATCAGCTCCTCCAAGAGTCCATGTCTCCAAAAATGTTTGACAATATTTCATTTACGTCTCATTCTACAGATGAATGCATGGGAGGTCAGAGAGGTTAGGAGACTACATTAAGGCCTTGCATTTTCTTTATTCCATTATGGTGCCTGAGACATCTCACGTGCCTGACCTGTGCAGGGCTGAGAACACAGAGATGGTGTCACAGTTTGAAGAAGGAAGAGCATTGTACAGGAGCCTTAGAAGTCATCTTCTCATCTCCTAGGACCACTTGGTGTAAAATCTCTCATGCTTGTGGCAGGTTCCTCCACTTGACATGCCCCTTCTTGGTCAGTCTTCTCAAAAGTACACCATGAGCTCATTTTGTTTCATTCATCTCTGCTTAGCACAGGCCCTGGCTGGGTAAAAACCCACTGAAAGACTCCAGTGACTCCTTCGCTTTGTCTTGAAACATAGGATGTAAATGATAAGGGAGGATATTTTTCAGACAGTTGGGGGAGAAGATGGTAAATTCATGATAGAGGTAGTGCTGCCACTGGGCCTCCAGCTTTCCCATTTGGAACCTCTGAGCTATGCCCATACCCCCAGCAAATGAGATCTAGTTGACGTTGGCCTCAGGTGTCCTGTCCACCAAGTCACTAGCCAGTGTTGGAGGTATCACCATGTACTTACCTTTATTTTCATTCAGTTTTCTCCAGGCACCCATATTATATATCTAGCTTTGACTGCCGGATAGGGACTGCATAGGTTTTGGGGATGGTGGTTTTCTCATAGGACAAGTGGGTTAAAAAGTAAGCTCCAGAGACACATCTCCTGGATTTAAATCCTGACTCTGCCCCCTCTGGGTTGGAGCAGCTTTTCAGCTATCTGTGGGTCAGTTCCCTCCTCTGTAAAATATTACCTTTCTCATATGATTGTAGGGAGTTGATTCATGAAAAATGCTTAGCAGAGTGCCTGGGTCATGGTAAGTGCTCAATAAATGTTAGCTATTATTATTGCATTTCACTGATTCTCTCTTAGTTCTAGGAGGAGTGTGTTGAACATAGTAGGTCTTTAATAGTGACTTGAATAAAGTTAAATAATAATAATTTTAGAAGGTTTTTAAGGAACCTAACACCTTGGTATAAAACTAAAAATAAAGAAAGAAAGAAAATTACAAAATTGCATTTAGTGTGTGCAGGGTAACATTTTAATGAATTAAATTTTAGTTTGATGAAAGTTTCCTGTATACAAGGCCCAATCCTAGGTTCTGGGTGTCCAATTCATCTATAGGTTGCAGACTAGCTGGGGAGACAGACCATAACCAGATCATTATACAACAGAGGGATAAATGCGGGGGCAGAGATAAGTGCAGACCAGAAACTAACAAGGAGGTAGTAGTGACAGAGTGTGGTAGGCTGTCACAGAAGTGGATCAAGCCTTCCATCCACAGAGATGGGCTGTCTGCGTGGAACTGGATATCCACAAGACCAGCTTTGCAGGAAGGCTTAGCAAAATCTTTAGCATTCCTCCCCTTCAACCTCAAGAGTCTTTACCTATGTTTTTAGAGAGAAATACATTTACACTCAATATCTCAGTAATTGTTTATTTGGTCTCAGGATAAGCAGAGCTGCAAGGTAGCATTGGTGGCCTGATAAGAAACAGGCAATGGCTCAAAGGGCCAACTTCACTCTTATTTAATCTTGCAATTGTTGAATCTGATTTGCTCCCTTCAATTCTGTTTCCATCAATGCATGGGTTTATGAGCGAAAGACAACTGACGGGGGTTGGTGAACCATGCCAAGGTGATGATAATAATAACAATAGCTATCATTGTTGAGTACATCCTACACGCCAGGCACAGTTCTAAGAACTTTGTCGGGATGAATTTATAAATAACCTGACAATTAGGTATTGTTTTCATTCCCATTTTACAAAGGATAAAAGTAAGAGGTGACAAGCTCGAAAACTTACCTCATGTCATGGAGGATGCCAGAGTCCATGTCTCAAATCCCATTTGTAAAGCTTCTATCTTATTGCCTCTCTTTGCAGTCTGGGCTCACATTCACCAGGAAGCCAAACAATTCAAACTCTCTGCTACTTGAAATTCTGCATATTGGGGGATTCTTATACCAAGGCTGGCTTTCTGTTAGGGTTTAAAATCTGTTGAAGGAGTGGTCCAGGGTGATGACTGACCTTTGGTATTGCTGAATATTCAGATATGTTAGTTGATGACCTTGTCAAAGAAATACACATGTCCTATCTCGGGTGTAAAGGAGGGGGGTCATCACAAGGTGCTGATAAGGAGGGGAAGGTCTGGAATATAAAGGCTCCTGTTCCTGAGAGAGGACTGTCTTCCCCTCAACTTTAAATTATAATTTACCTCTCCACATCCTTCAGATTTAGAATTCTAACATAATAAAAGAAAATACAAGAAGGTATACTAAAATAGAGAAGAAAGATGGAGATTATACTTTTGGAGTCAAATTCTACTTACTCTCTAGGCAACTTCAAGCAAATTATTTCTATTTGTCTGAACTTTCATTTTCTCACCCATAAAAGGCATAAAAATGAGACCTTTCTCATAGAGTTGCTTTGAGGATTAAAATGAGAGAATCTATGGGCAGTGCTTCTCAGAGTACATTGTACTACTGTGCTGCTGCTACTTCTCTCTCTCTCTCTGTTAATGGTGATAACACCACTGTCACCATCCCCATCATCACCATGACCACGACCATCACCACTATCACCACCATCACCATCGCCACCATCCTCACTACTACCATCACCAAAATCACCATCACCACATCACCTTCACCACCATCAACATTATCACCACCATCAGCATCACCACCATCACCATCACCATCACTATCATCATCCCTATCACGACCACCATCATCATCACCACCACAACTATCACCATCATGACCACCACTATTATCTTCCTGTCATCATCATCATCAACATCATCATCATCACAGGTTAACATTACCCCTGACTGGCTCTTTCCTGTCTTGTACGATAAGCAGATTGCTATAGAAGGGCAGAAAGGGTCATGGAAGGAGCCCTGTGTGGGGTGTTGGGGGGATAGGGTTGTGTTTGTTCCCAAACACTGCCACTTGCAGTGATGCAGACAAGGCACTTAAAATTTCTGAGCCTCCTTTTAAAAAAAAAGTCATAGGAATAGTGTGAATTCTTGTATCATATGTATTGATGAAATAATACATTATAGAATAATAATATATATAATACACATAATATGTTATATATATATATATATATATATATATATATATATGAAATACATTATTATAACATGCATAATGAATAATACCAAGCACTGGACTTTCCAGGGTGTGGTCTCCTCACAGGAGTGTAGCTGCTTAGCTAACCAAGTATCTATAGCTGTCCATGAGGAAACAGTTGAAGTCAGAACAGATCCAGAAAACCCAGAACCTTGGAGCAGGTGCATTTTGTCAGACCAGCATCAGTGACCCTGGTCCCTATACTATTTCTTGAATTCTCACAATGAGAACCAACTAGGACAAAAAAAGAGCTTGAGATTTAGTAGTTGGTAGTTATTACCATTAATGGTAGTTTTTATACTGAGGGGATTTCATCTGAAGGCCTCTCTACCTAGCTGTTGATGTACGATCGTTTTTATCATTCGTTCAGGGTATGCTTGTGCCCTAAATGCACTGACAACTCCCTTCATCTTTCTACCTGTTTCCTTTTTGGTTTCAGCTCCTTCCGAGATCACTTTTGCCATTGATGTTGGGAATGGCCCCATAGAGCTCATAGTCCAGTCCTCTTCTCCTCTGAATGACAACCAATGGCATTATGTCCGGGCCGAGAGGAACCTCAAGGAGACCTCACTCCAGGTGGACAACCTCCCAAGGATGACCAGGGAGACCTCAGAGGAGGGCCATTTCCGGTTACAGCTCAACAGCCAGCTGTTTGTAGGTAGGGGACATCTTAAGGTGCCCTGTGTGCTAAAAACCCTACAAGACCACTGTGGAACCAGGCCCAAGGAAAATTACTATTTTAATTTAGACCTGGGAAATGATTAAAATATTTCATAGGACATTTATAATTATAAATGTAATTTCACAGATTCTTCCTTACTAGATTTATTAGCTACAACAATGGAAGATTATGTCATCTCTTAGCAAAGTTTGAGGGGGTTTCAAACTCTATTTGTATCTTTTCTCCTTGTACATATTATATTCTCAGATGTCCGGGAACCTCTATTACTTTTCATCCCCATAATCAAAACCTACTCTTAGAAAAAACGATGTATCAGCTAGTTAAACCTTATTAGAAGTTGACTTTAAGTCAGTGGGCTACCATTCACCCTTCCTAGTGATACCTGACTCCAGATAATTATTGATAACCATGTAATGAAATACGTTACAGCATCTCCAAGGGATTTAGGGCATCAGTAATATGGTGGTGGAGGGAGCTATTGGTTTTCAAACTAGGAGCTTCTTTGATACTCCCTGAAATCACATCACTTAGGCAGCTGCCTGATAACTTGCACAGAAAAGCAGCCCTGGTCCCTAAGCAGACGTCTCTCCACTGGTCATTTCCACCGTGAGACTCAGAATCAACCTTTAGATAAGTTGTTCCTCTGAACTGGCTGCCACTGCCACTGCCACTGTTCATCTGAACTGGCTGCCACAGGGCCTGGGAAGGCTCAAACATCATTCACTGAATCATTCATTCATTCCATAAGCAGTCAGTGAGCACCTAAAACAAATCATGCACCTTGCCAGATGGTGGGAATTGAAAGATGACTTGTGCAATGAAACTTCTTTTCAAATAGCTCACTCTGTGTGTGTGTGTGTGTGTGTGTGTGTGTGTGTGTGCTGTGCGAGAGAGACAAAGAGGCAGAAAGAGAGAGGGAAGAGAGAATTTAACCACATTAGTCCAGGTGGGAAACGTCCGCCTTATAGCTACAGTTTAGAAAGGATTTTTTGAAAGTAGGTTGAGCAGGGCTTATAAAGCTTTAAAGACAAATAGAGTTGTAAATGTTAGGGATATTGTATTATTATCAAAACCAAGGCACTGCTCTTACATAAAACTTGAAACTCAGATGCTTAGAACAGTAGCATAAATTAGTTCCAAAATTTGCCAGTATACCCAGATTTACTTTTCTTTCCTTATGTATTTATTTTACCAACACTCACACTACATAGCTTTACTGCTAGTAATGAAATGCCATCAGCAATCAGTGGGTGTTTCTTACTTGCTTCCTTTAAGTTTGGGTTTGTGCAACTTTTAACTCTGAGGAAATCTGTCACTAAGAACACACCAGCTAAAAGAAAAGAAGTAACAGAATCTGTAATCTCTCTTTCCAACAGGAATCATATTTCTTTCTTCATCTATCATGTTTTACCTATCCATCAGGAGCTAAGATATAAGTGATTAAAAATGATTTTATGATGAAAAAGTACTCACTTAACCTACATCAGTGATATGATTTAGTATTAAAATATTTTTTAAATTTATATTGATGTTTTCATTCTATTTAAACATCACATTTTATTGCTCTGAATAAGTTTGCTAGTCATCAATATTTAATGTCTTTTTTAGTGTAATCAATTCAAGTAGTTTGCAATTTTCATAAATTATATTCCATGCCAAAGTTTAATTTATCTTCAGGCAGTACTGATGAATCTTTCTGGCTGAAAGGTGTATATAAAGATGGAATTTTTTTAATCCCTTCATGCAAATTCCATGTACTTAAGAAATTATCATATGTGACTGCTATTAATATGTGAATATGTGACAAACTTTGTGCAAGTCGAAAGGGAAAAGAGGCAGCTGTGTTTCCTTGCGGGTTTTTATCTCTAAATGTTTCTGTTAACTGATCACAAATGCAATGAGTAAGAGCATATCTATAGGTCTGGAGAGATACCTTGCTCAAGGTGGAGCCAAGGTCAGCTGCAGCAAGAGCAGCTTCCCAATAGGCTCCATCTCAGATGGTACTCTGCTTTATTGAATTTGTCTTAATGTACTTGAAGAAGAAAAACATGCTGTTGGAGGCCATTTTACTCTGTTGGTTTGAATTTTGTTGTTTAGTGTTCAACCTGTTTAGAAGTGTCAGGTGGCCAAAAAAATTGAAGTCCCAATATTTCTAGTTTGTATGATTCAATGGTTTAAAAAAAAAAGGCCTCTACTTAGCTAGAGCAGCCAAAATGACGAATTGCATTCTCTATCATTCAGAAAATTTGAGTCACTGGATTTTTATATTTGCTAAGCAGAGAAAGATATGATTGCAGTGTGCTTTTTAAATTTTTTTTAATTAAAGTATATTTGATTTACAATGTCATGTTAATTTCAGGTGTACAACAAAGGGATTCTGTATACGTATACATATACACATTCTTTCTCAGATTCTTTTCCCACATAGGTTATTGAGTATAGTTTCCTGTGCTATACAGTAGGTCCTTGTTCATTATCTATTTTTACTGGGACAGATTGATTGTGACAGTACTTAAATATTAATTTGGATATGTCTGTCTAGATACCTTTAACCTCTGAAGGATCTTTCAATCAAAACATAGCATCGTTCAAGTATGGTAATCACTGGCATTGCTGCTGTGCTTGTGAGTGCTTCCCAAGTACCAGAAACAGGTTGAATTTTATAGAATGGATATATCTCTTAGCACTACCCCAGTCATTGGAATGTGACAAGTTGAAGTGCTGATGCCTGAGTCAATGCATGCTGGATTCCCAGAATCAATATTTTAACTTCAAGCTTTTATTTCCCTGATAGTTAGGAACAATTGCAACCATGCCATTTCACTGGTTGTATTTCTTGAATAGAGTAGGAGAAGCTTCATAACACAGAGCTTCTGAAATGCACACTTCAAGCTTGGGGTAGTTTCAGCTTTAAAACTCTTGGCAGTATCATCCCTCGCTTTGCTCTTCCCTACTAGCTTTTCAAGTCAATACGAGGAAAAGGCAAGAGAAATCCAAGAACTAGCACTTATAGCTGCAAATGAAATGAAGAAATCTGGGTAAGAACTCCAGGTCAACTGCCAACAGGCCGTGGGACCCTGGTAGAAAAACAACTAGCCTAAGTGGATTCATTGCCTTCATTATTTGCAGAATGAAATTGATGAGCCCAGTAACTGATCCCTTACAACTTGAGGATGTCCCATCTCCATCTGTATATTAAGCATGACAATCATCCTTACCCTCACCCTCATGCCCATGTGGATGTCACAGCCAGGAAATTATCTCTTTGTCCCAAATCTGACACCCCATCTTTCCAAATATGTTGCAATTATAGAATGGACATTTTGTAAAGCTGTGAGCCTGTGAGTCTCATTTTTGTGTTGCCTTACTTTCTTCTTATCTTTTTGGCCTTTTATGGACCTTTTTCTTTATTTTTTCTTTGTTTTTTGGCTCAGCTGCTTTATTTGTGTCAAAATAAACTGAAGTAACTCCCACTTAGAGCTCCTTGGGGAAAGTATTTCACTGACTTGGTAAATCATACAGTTGAAGCGATTTCCCCCCTACCCACAGTGCTGCTCCTGATTCCACACTGGTTGGGAATTATTATTACTATTTTCAGGTGAAGTGTGTCAAAAGCGAGGTCAGCAGTGAAACCAGGAAAGGTGGGTCTCATTTGCTCTCTGCCCTAACATTTCAGAAACTGCTAGAGTCTCTCTGTGGAATAGTCACTTATATTTACACTTGCGAGTGCCCCACAAGGATGGCTTTCCTGACACAAGCCAGCAGAGTTTTCTGTCTGGAAGATATACTGTGTCTCAAAGCAGAGGAAGAGATACACATCCTGTTCATGTTAAGGAAGAACTGGAAAATCACCTTTTAGCATATTTGTTACATAAAACCATTGTGCATGGAGGATGTCAATGGTGAAACAAAAAGTAAAGAAATTGTCTTTTCAGCATCCTATACATTTCTGATGATAAGTTCTGATTTACCAACAAGTTTATTTTTTCAAAGTTAATATGTCAAGTATACTTGAATCATCTTAGTAAAGAAATTAGCTTAGTAAAAATATTAATACATGATTTCTGATATTCCCCATAGTAGTTAAATAAGAGAAAGTGTCCTGATTCCTTTAAGAAGTTTTAGGAAACCTCAGAACACTAGCAGGCAAGTCCCGTGAATGCTTTGCTTCCTTGTTACCTACCAAGTGGCAGTCACTCAATGCATCTACAATGAAAAAAAAAAAAAAATGATGAAGAGCCACCTGTTCCTCATGCATTTTTTTCCCCCAACACCACTTCTGCTCCACAAAATCAGATTCTTAGAGCTTGAAAGTGCTTTGAAAGAACACTGGTTCTGTTTATTTTCAGAGAAGTGAATGATTAAATGACCCCTTCCACAAAATTTTGTCTCATCTTGAAAATGTTGAGAGTTGAGTACAATGAACCCATCCCAATAGCCCATGTTAGTATTTTCTGCCCCCTAATATTCCAAAACCCTTTTGGAAATGTTTATCTACAATCTCTTATGCTTTAATTGAAGCTCATTTCATCCTATACTGACCGCATTAGATTGGTAATGGGACATTGAAGGAGAATATACAACTTTCTTGTACAGTTTCACATTTTTAAGTTTTAATTCTGCCTTTGACAAAACATATCTCAAAGCATGCTATCTGTTTTTGAAGAAAGGTACAACATGGCATCATGTTCTCATGAAGCCCAGGGAGAAAAGCCCTGAGATTTGGACCACACAAAAACTCAACAGTAGAAGCAGTCATTCTAGTTACTCTGGCACTGCCAGTCATCAAAATCTGTAACTCAGTAAAGAAAGAAAACATTAGGACAGCACCATTCATGTGGAGCTCGGGTGATAATTATAAAACGCAATTCAAGCCAGATATTTCTGGAAAATAAAACAGCACACTCTGGATGTTCAAGGACCCAAACTGAGGGAGGTGAGAAGTTGTTGTGTCTTTTCCAAAGCCAAGGGACCAT